CCGAGTGGCTCAGTTGGTTAAGAGCTTGCTCAAGAGTTTGAGCTCTGAGCAACAGGGTCCCCGGTTTGATTCACGGCCTGAGCTGAGCTGCTGCTGAGCCGCCAACAGTTGGCAGGATGGCTCAGCTAAAAAAAAAAATAAAATAAAAGCAGAGGAAAAATATGTCTTCCTTGAAAACATATTCTTAGAATTCACAAGCACTGGAGTTTTACAGACAGAACAGGATGAAAAGTATTAATTAAATGTCGCAGTATTCTGAAATGCCTCTTTACATAAAACCATCTAGTCTGTGTTCAATATGGATCAAAATTAAATGATACACTACATGAGGTTAAAAGTAAATGCAAACAAAAGCCCAAAAGCGCCAAGGAAAATAGGAAATATACATACCCCACCAACATTACTTTCTCTTCCGCTCATGCTCTGCAACACAGCCTTATCTAGACCCAGTTTCAGACTGGCTCGGTCAAACATCTCTCTCTCGTATGAGTTACGAGTTACTAGTCGGTAGACTTTAACTGCTTTATTCTGACCAATTCTGTGACAACGAGCTTGGGCCTATAAAAAATGAAAATTTATAGATTCAATTTATTTTACAAAATAGCATGAAAGACATAACATAAAAGGCATTTAATAGTAAAATATTTGATGGAATATAAAAGTATATAAGAATGCTTAGACCCTTTAGTTACTAAATTAGCTATAATTTTTGAAGTAATGAAGGTAGAGCTTACTAAAATAAGAAGTGATCCCACAATCAGCTGTAAGATAAAATCTAAGCTTATATTTTAGAGAATGTAAATCATTGAAGAATTAGTTTAAAGACGATGTCATCAATATAATTTTAAACAGGAATGTAAACTCCAGATATTTTTAGTGGCTGGCAACTCATCCTTTAAACCTGTACCTTAAATTTCTAAATTTTTTTCTATTACATTATCAATAACCTTTTCAATATATTTTAGTTCAACTGGATAATGGAGGGGAAGGGTAAAAACTTAAGGTGAATAACTATGGAGACCCAAATTTTATTTAAACAGATAGAACTAATTATCTAATATGTGTACCTGTTGGAAGTGGAGACATCAGAGATTACATAATTTTTTTCATATTTTATCCTGAGTTCCCACTACACTTAAAATTTGTGTAAGTTTTTACTCTAAGGGTTCTACACAACCATTGGTCTTTCTCACAAACTATTAATCACCTTGCAAATATCTTCACAAGATTAAATCATTAATTTGGCTTTAAAATTTACATGTGGCATTGATGCTAACACCCTTTGTTGACATCTTTAATCTATCCATTTCCACTTTGTGCCCACTGCAACTCAGAACTATGCATGAACAACTCTGTTCCAGGTTGAGGGAAAGTATAAGAGGCCAAATTTTTTATTAGTCTATAAAGACTAGATAGATCTACATTAGTAGTA